CAAGCAAGGCTTTTCCCATTACATAACTTTCCAAAATTATCGTCAAATACGAGGGGCGAGGGCCAGGCCGGAGGTTTTACTCTCAAGAGCTGGGTATACAAAATGCTTTGAGATACACAAAGGAGCACTGATTTTGGAAGCTCATAGACACGAAGTTTGAATCTCAGACCTGCTTCAAACTGATTAGCTTCTAATTTTCTAAGCTTCGGGTTTCTCAAGTAAAACATAAATGATAATATTACTTATCTCTACAGAATAATTCTTAGGAATAAATGAAATTAAACATCTGTCCTTTATAAATGTTAGTGCTCCTCAGGATTCTTTCCTAAATTCTGTCCCGGGGAGATCTTACCCACTTCCAAGATTTCCATTACATGGGCTGCTCACTTCCAAAACTTGGGTCTCCAGGCCAGATGGCACTCTGGAGCTCCAGAATGTAATATTCATCTCTCAACTGGAACAACCACTCTTGAATGTCCCACTGACTCCTGTATATCAGTATGTTCAAATTGGAACTAATCAGTTTCCTCTTCACCTACCCCTTCCCTCCCACACCAAAATTTGCTAAGTTCTGCATCTCAGTGAGTGACACCACCATACACCAAGCTGATGATTTCCTGCACTCTTTCTTCTCTCATCCTTAAATGTAAAACCCAGTACTAGCCACCTCCAGTCCACCTTCTAAAAAGCTCTTACATTGGTCTACTTTTCATCTCCAGTGATTTAGACCATCATCTTCTGAATTACTTTTAACAGGTACTCTTGCTGCCAGTATGGCTTCCTATCAGAGCATTTTCCACACTTCAAATGACTAATTCGTTCATTCAATAAATATTTTAAATGTCTGTTATTTGCCAGGCACCGTTCTAGGATCTGGAAATTCAGCAACTAAAAAACTTTCTGCCCTAGTATAGGGAAAGACATTAAATAAACTATATAGTAATGTCACATGGTGTTATGGAAACAAAGGAGATAAGGAACGTTAGCAGGTGAGGCAAGGTTGCTATTTTTATTTTTTATTTATTTATTTATTTTTGGCTGTATTGGGTCTTTGTTGCTGCGCGCAGGGGCTACTCTTTGTTGCAGTGCGCGGGCTTCTCATTGCAGTGGCTTCTCTTGCTGCGGAGCACAGGCCGTAGGTGCGCAGGCTTCAGCAGTTGTGGCACACGGGCTTAGCTGCTCTGCAGCATGTGAGATCTTCCCACAACTACTGAAGCCTGTGTGCCTAGAGCCCGTGGTCCGCCACAAGAGAAGCCACCTCAATGAGAAGCCCGCACACTGCAACGAAGAGTAGCCCCCGCTCGCTGCAACTAGAGGAAGCCTGCGTGCAGCAACAAAGACCCAATGCAGCCAAAAATAAATTAAATTTATTAAAAAAATCAGTAGTGTAAAAAAAAAGTCACAGTAGGTGCTCAGTATATATCTGTGACTAGGAAAGTGATTGGCACATGGTTAATAATGGTACATCATTACTATGAGCCAGTTAACATTCTATATATTGAAGAACGCCCAGATGAAAACTAAAATAGCCCAGATGAAAATTAAAATAGAGATTTTTTATAAATGTAAGGATAAATCCTTAGACAGACACACCTGAGAAACACAAAGACATGGGACTAGGAAACTCAAGTTGGGAGAGTTCTGCCTGCCATTTGGGGAACAGACCCTGTGGAAATTGTCCAATGAATGGCACAGAGTACAGGTCACCATTAACACAGTGACCTGACATTTAGGCAATGATCACCTCTTGCTGTTAACATCAAAAGACAGAGAGACAACTGGACACTGGGTACACTTCTCGATCTAATTATCTATTACGTTAGATACAGGGGGACAAGGAGCTTGTAAAGTGACACATGGAGATGTCTCAGCAAAATTCAGAATGTGGCAGAATCTACAGAACAAATGGGGACTTCCCTGGCAGTCCAGTGGTTGGGACTCTGCCTTCCAATGCAGGGGGTGTGGGTTTGATCCCTGGTCGGGGACCTGGGATCCCACATGCCACTGGGCTAAAAAACCAAAAACATGGAACAGAGGCAATGTTGTAACAAGTTCAATGAAGACTTTAAAAAATGGTCCATGTCAAAAAAAACCCAAAAAAACTACATATGCACTTACCTTTTTTTTTTTTAAAATAAATTTATTTATTTATTTTTGATTTTTGGCTGCATTGGGTCTTCGTTGCTGTGCACGGGCTTTCTCCGGTTGCAGTGAGCGGGGGCTACTCTTCATTGCAGTGGCTCCTCGTTGCAGAGCACGGGCTCTAGGTGTGCAGGCTTCAGTAGTTGCGGCTCGCGGGCTCTAGAGCGCAGGTTCAGTAGTTGTGGCGGATGGGCTTAGTTGCTCTGCAACATGTGGGATCTTCCCGGACCAGGGATCAAACCCGTGTCCCCTGCATTGGGAGGCGGATTCTTAACTACTGCGCCACCAGGTAAGTCCCTGCACTTATCTTTTGACTCAGCTGTCCCACTCCTAGGAATCTACTCTGAAGATACCCCTCCAACAGTATGTAAATACATATATAACAAGGTTCCTCACTGCAGCATTGTTTGTAATTGAAAAATATTGGAAACAACCTATGTGCCCATACAAAATAAGAAAATGGTTGAATAACTATAGTATATCCACACAGTGGAGTATGATGCAGTTGTAAAACAAAGAATAAGACTGCTATGAACTGATGTGATTTCCAGCATATACTGTTAAGAAAAAAAAGCTCAAAGAAGCATCTATAGGATGGCACCCTTCATGTTAATATCATTTTGATAATTGTACTATGATTATGGAAAACATTAACACTGGTGGAAACCGAGTGTAGAGTATACACAAACTTTCTGTTCTATTTTTGCAACATTTATGTAAGTCTAAAATTATTTCAAAATAAACTCTTTTCAAGAAATGCAAGTGACCAATAAATGTAAGATGTTAATCCTCGCTCAATTAAAAGACACAAATGAAAACGATGTATTAGTTTGCACCTAGCAAAGTGTCAAAAGGAAGCCAACACCTAATGTTAGTGCTGTGGGGAAACAGGTTCTCTCCTAGGCTGTAGGGTAGGAATGTAAACTGGAACTGCTTTGGAGAGCAACTTGCATCAAAATTTAAAATACATTCACTTTGACCCTGCACTCCTACAGTGACAATCAGACAAGTACACAAAGACATTCATTTTAGGGTTGTTTATAATAATGAAAGATAAAATAACATGTTCATACTGTGAGATACTATGAGATGGCACAGTCATCAAAAGTGGCACAGACACTTCCCTGGTGGTCCAGTGGTTAAGCCTCTGCATTTCCAGGGCAGGGGGAGCCGGTTGGATCCCTGGTCTGATGCCTGGTCGGGGAACTTAAAAAAAAAAAAAAAAAAAAGGCACAGATCTGTACTTATAGTGAAGGATGCACATATGGAGGGAAAAGCAATTCACAAAACTGAAGGAATGATTCCAGTTTTGTAAACAAATTCCTGGAAGAGATGCTCACAAATATGTTGGGTATGTGGTGACTTGCTTGTTTTTTCTATGTTTGGATTTTTATACCCATCACTTATTATGTTTAAAACAAAAATTTCAAGCTTCAATTTTAGGGAAAAAGTCACCAAAAACATAAATAGTAAATACTAACTTTATTGTGGCATAAAGCTGTATTTTTATACATTAACTCAATTTTACAGTAAAAACACTTTATGTATAACTGTAAAGAAACTGCTGCACAGATAGTTCCAACATAAAAATTGGTATTTTAAGAGTTCATTGAGTTGTTTGATACATAAATTGGAAAATATTTTCTCTGTAGAAAACAGTAAAAATGCTAACATTTCCCAGGCTAGCACAACAAGCCCATTTAAACCGTACAGTAGCTGAGTTATACATTTATAAATATGGTCTGAATTCTGGGATCCAGGAGAAACTTTAGCTTCATTTACTAAAACAGCCATATTGTCCTAAGTTGTGTAAAGTGAAATTCCCATTAATCTTCCCCCTTACTCTTCATTTATGCCTGATTATTTCTTCCTAAAGGACAGGTACACCATCCTTTTAATCTACTTGATAAAGTAACCCATTCTTACCCAAACTTAAATGTTTTGGTTGTTATTTAAGTATGCTCAGCATCTCAGCAAAACCAGAATTTAATAAAACATGATCCACAAGGCACAGGTTGTTGGTCATCAAATACCTACCTCCCCTTGACTCCCTCTGGCTTGATGGGAAACCACGAGAAGGTCAAGCGATAAAATTGTCAAGTGGATCAAGGAATAAAAGCCAAGAGAATTTGAGAACAGAGAAACATCCATTCAGGATGCAAGGACAGAAATGAAGTCCAAATAGAAAAAGGATGCTGCCTCAAGAATCAAGGAGTTGGCTATCTGAGCCCATTACTGCAAAGGTGACTAAGAACCAGGTGGATATAAAGACGCTGCCAGAGAAACCAGTGCCTACAAAGATTTCAGTTGTTCAAAATAATTAAATGAAAACAAGACAGGCCATGTATTTGAACTCCTCCTGTCATAGTTTATTTCCTGAGATTCCCAATACAGAATTTCTAGGAATTAAGGCAAGAAGACAATGTTACTCGTAAGCTCCTGCACAAGGTTTCCCAGAGAAATAATACTCGAGACCTCAGAGCAATATCGGGCCAGGGGTTATATTAAGTTCTTCAGTTCCCTCAAAGTAACAACTTAAGAATAACCATATAGAGTTTGTCTTAAAAGGAAGTCTCTAGGTAGCTGCAACCTCTCAACAGAGTAGCAGCAGTCTAATAAAAAGAAAGAGATCCTATACGTAGCTATAGGAACTAGGCCTTGAGAAACTAAATTGGATCATTCTACCTAAAATTCCCAGCTTGCCCATTAGAAGTTAAACTCTAGAAACATTAATGACCCATTAAGTTTTCACCATTAAAAGAATGCTTTATCCCACACCTTCATTGTTCTTTTCTTTGCTCTCAATACATATGTTTCCTTCTTGCATGTGGAATATATTTTCAGTGGTTTTTTTTTTGACTCTTCAGCCATGCAAATCTCTGCCCCCTACTCCTTTAGTTCCTCCTTGGTAAATAATGTTAATCTTCCAATAGGAAGTGGACTATGTTATCATCAAGCACCATTTATCCTGTCTCCTTACTTATGAAGAAAGTTACTGGGCCATGCTATACACTTGGAATTCCTTAAGGATACTTGCTTTCTAGTAAAATACTTCTATATGTACATATATATTTTTTAAAAATCTGTGAAGAATTCACTGAAGCATGAATCACCTTATATTGAGAAGCTAATAATGTATCAAAATGCACATAACAATGGCTAATCTATATACTATCGCCTATCAAATGTATCACCACCTCCAAATCTAGAGCATATGCTGGCATAAACTGTGTTACATCCCAGCTGAGTTTGAATCTTGCTTCAAAACATTGCTCAGTATTAATTCTCAGAAGATACATTATAGGACCACAGGAGTAAATGTTAGGCTAGTGGCTGAGGAATACCAATTACAGAAGAAAGCCTTGAGTGCTCAAAGTGCTTCTCCAGAAACTGTTGCGTTCCCCATGGTATTTAAGAAGGACACTATAAAGAGATACTTCTAAGTATAAAGACAGGTCAACTTCACAAGTATCAGCAGATACATGCTTGCTTCTATCTTATAATCTATAGACACTGCATTTGAATATGTAATGAATTCACACACCTTTTCCAAAGGAATACCCGATACAGAAGTAGCAACAAAGTTATAAATGACAATGATCAGATTAAATAATTTAGATGAAGCCTGTCTCTCTCGAAGAGATGGGGACTGGCCAAGTAGGAAGGAAATACAATGTGCTTTTTAACTTTGTATGAAAAATTATGTTCAGTTTCCTGTGGCCAAACATAGTTCTGTTTTTGCCACATAAATCCTCTACCTCAAATTACTGTCCGAATGCTTTACTAAAATTCCGCTTCTGGCCTTTGTTTTGGAATCTGTTACTTTTGTTGCCACCTCCTGATCGCTGTCCTCTGAAGCTTCTGTTTCTTTCCCGCTGTCCCCTGAGACCTCGATTGCCTTCCCGCTGTCCCCTGAAGCTTCTGTTTCCTTCCCGCTGTCCCCTGAAGCTTCGATATCCTTCCCGTGGTCCTTCTAGCTCTGGTTGCTCTGTGGCCACAGAAAGCTGCCAGCGCCGTGAATCATGCCATTTTTCCTGTTGAGAGATGGTTTCGTTTTTACCTGCTCTGATTTTTACTGAATTTGGTTTAAAAAGGCATGAGAAAGATAACATTTTCTCCCTTTTTCTAAAGAAAAACTTGATTGATAACCTAAGTGCTTAAAAGATCACTGGTCAAAAATAAAATAAGTTTCACTATGAGATATACCCTCATCATTTATTCAATTCAATTACTACAGGGTATCCACAGCTGTCAGGTAGTGAACATATAAATATACCACTTGCAAACATATTTCTCACAGCAGTACGGAATAAAGATATAGCAATTAAAAATGTCTACATAAACCCCGTGTAACATACACGGGGTTTGTGAAAAAAGCTGGATATTGTTCACAATGCTCTAGAAAGGAAAAAAGGAAAACAGGCAGGCTGAATAAGAAAAATATTAGTATAAAAAGGGTAGGAGAAAAAAAATATTAAATATAATTCTTAGTTATTTTTAGTAAAGGGACTAGAGCTATTGTTTCCCTTTCTATAATTCTATAACTTAAATAATAAATATTTTACTGTTTAGTTATGTTAACTTCAAAATCTGAGAGAAGAGAATACCTGTACTTCTGTTACTGATGCAGTAGGGATATCAAAGCAAACACCCTAGAAATCAAAACAAATGCCAGTTAATCCACACTTTGACAACAATTATAAAATGCACCTTAAATGATACTCCAAAAGACCAGGTATTATGTAAAAGAAACAACCCAAACTAGGTATCCATTTTAGATAAACTTTAGACCAAGCCCCAACACATAATACCCCCCTAAAGCACAATAATAAAAAGCCAGGGACATTTAAAAAAAGGACTCAAAACTACTTGGAACCGACTAGAGATCATTCTTGGCTTTCACACTATGCTAATCCTCACAGGGCTATCAGCTACATTTTATAGCTGAGGAAACAGAGGCTTGGAGAGGCTAACTCACTTGTCTAAGGCCCTGCAGCTGGTAAGAGCAGCTTTTAAAAATCTGGTCAGTATGGCTCTTAAATAAAACCTATGGTCTAAAAACATTAAAATACACTGCCTTCCATCAGAAAGACTGAACTAGTTAGGATGACAGAACTAAAAGCAGAAAAATAAATGATCTTGTATTGTTTTCTATGTTTATAATTCAGCCGCCTATGAAAAGACTTTAAAAATTAAATACTTTACAGGACACTAGCTTTGATAACAAGCAGTGCCATGATCTCCAATGAAGTCCTCAATATCTGGTTGGGGAACTAAGATCCTGCAAGTTGTGGGGTGCAGACAAAAAATAAAAAATAAAAAAATCCTGCTTCTTGGCGTCCACAAAATAATCAAACTCCCCCCGCAACTGACACAGGCACTCCTCTCCCCTGGCTGTCTTTAATTACAACATTTTGAGGAACATCCCTTCCACCCAACAATTTACCCAATTATAACCACAGGTAGCATCAGGTACTAATGCCATTTGCGGGAATCTTCATTCACATATTTACTAAGTACTCAATACCAGGCACTCATTGCAGTACAGAGACACCTAGAAAACAGTTTTGGCCCTTGACTCAGCCACCGTGTTCTTGAGCATCTCAGTCAGTAAGCAAGCACAGCAAGGCAAAATTTACATGAATAAAGCTATGCCTTAAGAACTGTGAAGTATATGTAGAGGTGCCCCCAACTCTGCCATTCAGCCAGGGGAAGCTTCAAAGAGACTTAAGACCAAGTCATAAAGGATACCATGGAGACAAGAAATACTATATAAACAGTGGATTGAGCAGAAGGATGAAAGAAAGCAAGATGTACTGGGCATTGCTGGGAGTGGAGGGCATTGGTGGCGAGGAGACAGAGATGAAGTTGGTAAGGAGGACAGAAGCCAGCTCGCGAAGAAGCTCCATGTGAAAGTTAGGACTTTATCCCATAGATTATGTGGAGTTGCTTAAGGAGGTGAAAAACATGGTCAGACAAGCAATGAGTTGAAGATAAACCTGATATGGTTCACAAGCCAGTAGTTCTCCAAATATAGTCCATGCACCCCTGGAACCCTGAGATTTTTGGGGGGGGGGGTGGTCCACAAAGTCATTTTTTTTCTTTCTTTTTTTTTTTTTTTTGCGGTACACGGGCCTCTCACTGTTGTGGCCTCTCCCGTTGTGGAGCACAGGCTCCGGACGCGCAGGCTCAGCGGCCATGGCTCACGGGCGCAGCTGCTCCACAGCATGTGGGATCTTCCCGGACCAGGGCACGAACCCGCGTCCCCTGCATCAGCAGGCGGACTCTCAACCACTGAGCCACCAGGGAAGCCCCAAAAATATTTTTATAATACTAAAATGTTCTGTCCTTTTCACTCTCATTAAGGGTAGAGAGGAGTTTACCAGACACTACATTACATGTGATATTGCTCAGATGACTAACAGAAAATGATATTCTTACGCTTTATTAGAATTTCAGTCTTCAATTCTAATACTCTAAATATCAATAGATATAACCCATCTAAACAAAAGCTTTTTGCTATCCCCAACATTTGTTAAGAATGTAAAGAGGTCATAAGACCAAAATGTTTGAGAATTGCTGTGCTAGTCTATGCCACTAACAGAGCAGGAGTCAGAAGAAAGAACACCAGGCTTGAAAGGCAGATTTTAAATTTTGAATTCAATTTTGAATAAGTTTGTATTAAGGTGCTTAATAAACCCAATCTGGGTGGAGATGTCAGGGAAGCAGCTGGATCTTCAAGTCTGGCACTTCATGCAGATGGTTCAGGTTAGAGATACACAGAGGGTAGCTGTCAATGACTAACTGGCAACTGAGGGTCATGGATGACAATGCCCAGAGAAGACTGTATATAGAGTGAAAACGTGCAGCATCCCCATAGAACAGGGAAAAGCTACTGTACAGTGTTTTACTGCCAGCATGAAGCTAATGAACCAAGGCGAAGTCACAAAAGAAGCCCCAGCTTTACCTGCTTTCCTTTGAGAAAGACCATTCCCTTCACTTTGGAATCAATATCCTCACCCAGCTGCTCTTTAAGTTCTTTCCAAGCATAACTGATATTTGGCATTTCAATTGAGCACTGCAAGATCATGGTCACAAAACCCTATGGAAGAAAGGGGAACAAAATTAAAGTCTCAGAAACAAACAAGTGATAAGCACTTGTCCTCATGTTTCTGAAATATTTATGGGAAAGCTCTTCCTAAAAGCATACCCCTCCCACCCCACCATTTTAGTACGAGTAAAACTGGGGAACTCTGAATAAGACTGGTGGACTGTGCTAGTGTTGGTATCCAGACTGTGATAGTACACTTTTGCAAAATGTCACCACTGGGGGAAACTGGCAAAGTGTACAAGGAATCTCTCTGTATTAACTCTTAAAACTTTATGTGAACCTACAATTATCTCAAAGATTTCAACTTAAAAAAAAAAAAAGCACCACCTTCTTAAGTTTCTAGGTATGCTGGCTAAATGTATCATATGCACTTATGTGTCCACATGATTGGGTTTTTTAGGATGAAAAAGCTTGACATATAATTCACATACCATAAAATTTGCCATTTTAATGTATACAATTCAGGGGTTTTTAGTATATTCACAAGATTTGTAATCATCACCACTATCTCAAATTCCAGAACATGTCATTATCCACCCCCCAACACACAAACACAAAAACCCACATTCCCGTTAGCAGTCACTGCCATTCCCTCCTCTGAGGAGACACTGCAACCACTAATCTACTTTCTGTCCCTACGGATTTGTGTTTTTAAATATATATCTCAACCTTCATGAAAAAGTTAAAACAACTGGAAGTTTCAATGGAACACTTTTGAATCCTGCTCAAAGTCTAAATTGTGAAGTGTCAGGAATTTGACAGGGACCCTTACCACATCTGAGTTGATCAAGGAGCGCTGGTTGACTGACGTGGCACCTGAAATATGGGCCAGGGCTGCTGCCAGGGCTTCCACGGCTCCCTTCTCTTCGATCAGCTTCTCGGCTGACTGCTTGAAGTGAACAATCGCAGTGGGAGGCACAGAATCCAAAAGCCTGTGGTTTGAGAATATATTTGTTAGGAGAAAGGACAGAAGTGGACAGATTTCATTTTCAAGACAACATCATCTCAAGATAAATCAATATCTTTGAAACCAAATCTTGCATATGTCTAACATCATTTTGATGCAGTGTATAATACTTATTAGCATTTCTTTTGATCATGAACCCTCCCTGTCTATTTTTTAAATAAGCATCTCACATATTTATAATAGTAATTGTGGAAAGCACTCTAAAAATGTTGCTCAGACTCTGGTTCTGAAGCAGGGGATGTAGCTCACCACCTGGAAACATTTGAAAAACAGTCGGAACCTTTTTGATTTCCATAATACCAACGTCACTCACCTCCCAGGAATACACTGCACAACCAGGGATGCTAAACAGCTAAATATCCTTGCAAATCAAAAAAATGGGCAGAACACCTAAACAGACACTTCTCCAAAGAAGACATATGCATGGCCAATAGGCACATGAACAAATGCTCAACAATGCCAATTACTAGAGAAATGCAAATCAAAACTACAATGAGGTATCACCTCACAGTGGTCAGAAGGGTCATCATCGAAAAGTCTATATAAACATAAATGCTGGAGAGGGTGTGGAGAAAAGGGAACCCTCCTACACTGTTCGTGGGAATGTAAATTGGTACAGCCACTGTGGAAAACAGTACAAAGGTTCCTTAAAAAACTAAAAATACAAGTACCATATGATAGTTCCCACTGCTGGGCATATATCTGAAGAAAACTCTAATTCAAAAAGATAAACGTGGGCTTCCCTGGTGGCGCAGTGGTTGAGAGTCCGCCTGCCGATGCTGGGGACATGGGTTTGTGCCCCGGTCCGGGAAGATCCCACATGCCACGGAGTGGCTGGGCCCGTGAGCCATGGCCGCTGAGCCTGCGCATCCGGAGCCTGTGCTCCGCAACGGCAGAGGGCACAACTGTGAGAGGCCCGCAAACCGCAAAAAAAAAAAAAAAAAAAAAAAAAAGATACACGCACCCTAACGTTCATAGCAGCACTACTGACAATAGCCAAGAAATGGAAGCAACCTAAGTGTCCAGCAACAGATGACTGGATAAAGATGTGGTACATACATACAATGGAATTTTACTCAACCATAAAAAAGAATGAAATATTGCCATTTGCAGCAACGTGGACAGACCCAGAGATTATCATACAAATGAAGTAAGCCACACAAAGACAAATACCATATATCACTTATATGTGGAATCTAAAAAGTAATGCAAATGAACCTATTTACAAAACAGAAATAGACGCACAGACATAGAAAACAAACATGGTTACCAAAGATGAAGGCTGGGGGTGGGGAGTGAGGGGTAGAAGGAATAAATTAGGAGTATGGAATTAACAGATACATACTACTATATATAAAATAAATAAGCAACAAAGATTTGCTATATGGCACGGGGAACTATGTTCAATGTCTTGTAATAACCTGTAATGGAAAAGAAATCTGCAAAATTATACAAACACACACACAAAACTGAATCACTTTGCTATATACCTAAAACTAATACAATATTGTAAATCAACTATAGTTCAATAAAAAATAAATATTCTTCAACTTATAGGACAATTGCACAAAATAAAGAATTTTCTTGCCCCCATGCCAGCAGCACCTCCAACGACACTCTTAATCTAATCCTCACCATCTAGACATTTACCATAACTTTTTCCTGCACGATATATAAGGTACAGTTACTTAAAATGCCCAAGACAAACCAAACTACTAATAGTGGTTTCCTCTGGTGAACAGGATTGGGTAGGGATGAGTAGAAACAAGAGTTTTTGTTTTCTAAGCACAGCCTATTTTTTTAAGCAGCAGCTTATCAATTTTTAAAACAATGAATAAATAAAATAAATTTTAAAAGGCTAAATCTCATTACTACACAAAAACATGTAATAAATAGAGCAAGCACTAAAACAGACCACAGCAGTGGTAGGGAACATACCTGATGGCATCTTTGCTAGAAGCTTTTATTATCTCTGTTGCAGAAGGAACACCTATTCTCTTAAATTTAATTCCCTATAAGAAAATGAACCATAACTTAATGTACAATGAGGCCACCAACTGTTTCCATTGAGATTAGTATTCTCCCAATTTTTTAATATTTACCAAACATATTTGTTACATACTTAAAAGATAAACTTTTTATCTCAGAAAGGTTTTAAATTTATAGAAAAGTTGCAAAGGTAGCACAGAGTTCTTGTCTACCTGCACCTATTACTTTGTTATTACTTTGGTACATTTGTCACAGCTAAGAAACCAACATTGCTACATTACTATTAACTGAACCCCAGAGTTCATTCAAATTTCACTAGTTTTTCTACTAATATCCTTTTCCTATTGATATTCGACCCAGGACACCACATTACATTTAGTCAACATGTCTTCTTAGTCTTCTCTAATCTGTGGTAATTTGTCTTTCCTTGGTTTTCAAGACCTTGATAGTTTTAAGGTGTGCTTGTCAGGTATTCTGTAGAATGTCCCTCAATTTGTGAACATCAGTTTTTTACATCTTTAGACTGCAGTTATGGATTTGGGGGGAAGATGACTGGTTTCGTTGCATCATATCAGGGGCACCTGCTTATCACTGATGTTGACCACGATCACCTGGCCAGGTAGTGTTCGCCTGCCTTCTGCCCTGGAAAGTCCTCCCCGCTGACCCTACTCCGCTCTTTGTAAGCAAGTCACTAAGTACCGTCCACTGACGGTGAAGCGGGGAGATTAAACTCCACCTCCCAGAGGAGGAAGTACCAGCATAAGAATTTCCTTACAAAATTCTTCTGTAAAGAAAATCAATGTCTTCTTTCCCATTAAAAAATTTATCCTTTTAACATATTCTCATCTTTTTGGTTTTCAAGCAATTCCTATAACCCCCTAAATCTACACTTAAGTTATTTCTGGTGCGTTCACAGTGTATCTGAAAACTGAAAAGCACCTCTCAAACATAAAAAAGACCTCTTGTCATTATAAATATGAAGACAAAACCACTGCTTTCAAATGCAAAGTATTTAAAATGGGCTGTATATCATAGGACAATATATAAAACACATATCGAACAACAATCTTTCAGTCATGGCCATATGCTAGAAATAAAAATTTCAAGTTAATAAAAACTGAATAAAGAGACCAAAGACTGACTTTAAAACTCAACGTTTGCTGAGTGAAGGCTTAGAAAATAGTTTTACCGCTTTTTGCTCCACTTGGGCTAACTGATATTCTTCCTTGTGCTGATAAAAGCAGATGCAAATCCCAGTCCTTCCAGCTCTACCTGTTCGTCCAGAACGATGAATGTAGGACTCCACGTCCTATTGAAGTAAAATACGTCAGTGACAGTGAACAACAAAGAGAGACATAGACCTGAGTAGCCTAGGCAGAGGCAAGTGTGGTGGTTATAGACCAGGGTTGGGGGAGGCTCCCAAGCACTTCAATTTAAAGAACTGTAGGGACTTCCCTGGTGGTGCAGTGTTTAAGAATCCGCCTGCCAATGCAGGGGACACGGGTTCGAGCCCTGGTCCGGGAACATCCCACATGCCGCGGAGCAACTAAGCCCGTGCGCCACAACTACTAAGCCTGCGCTCTAGAGCCCACGAGCCACAACTACTGAGCCCACATGCCACAACTACTAAAGCCCATGCACCTAGAGCCTGTGCTCCACAACATGAGAAGCCACCGCAATGAGCAGCCTGCACACCGCAAGGAAGAGTAGCCCCCGCTCGCCACAATTAGAGAAAAGCCTGTGTGCAGCAACGAAGACCCAACGCAGCCAAAAATAAAATTTATTTATTTATTTATTAAAGAACTATAAAAACATTTTAAAAACCTCTAGAAGAGTGGTCCCTATCCTATGGGTAAATCTGCAAAAAGCACTATCTAAATAGTACTGTCCAACAGAACCATATATGTAATTTTAATAGGCAACTTTCTAGTAATCACACTAAAAAGTTAAAAAAAGTTAACTTCACTATTATTTAACCCAATATATCCAAAAGTTTATCATTTCAGTATGCTATCTCTACAAGACAAGTTATCAATGAAATATTACATTCTTTTTCCACAAATCTTCAAAATCCACTGTGCATAATAGAAAGTTTGAAAAATTTTTAAACTCCACTTTTATACTTACAGCACACACATCAATTCAGACGAGCTGCCTTTCAAGTGCTGAAGAGCCCCATGTGGCTGTGGCCACCATACTGAACAGCACAGGTACACAGGCTATTTAAACAAGTCGATGGCACACACATACGGGACTTTCTTTACAAGAAACAGTGGCTTCGCAGTAATGTGTTTTTCCATCACTGTGAACATTAATCCTGAGGGATTTGCCAAATTTGGGGATAATAGGATCTTCACGCTTGAAGTGATGGGAACAAGTTCCTTCAGACTAACTTATATGTAAGTGAAGCATTGTCCACACGATATAAACTATGCTTCAGGGCTCTCTTTGGGCAGTTCCTATCATATACAAACCCAAGCAGTTTTAACTACAGAGGCTGTTAACTACAGAGCTTTTCTCCCTTCTCTGTCCTCTAGCTCACAAGTTTACCTACCTACCACCACCCCATCTAAGTCTTATCTATCTTCAAAGTCCAGTTCAAAATTGCACTACCCCCACCCATGCAGCCTTTCAGGGCTCCCTCTGACCAGAAACTATCTCGCCAACCTCTGGCCACTCACCGCACTTCCCCTCAACTATCAGTTCTGAGGAGGTTCATTCTATTTATTTATTTATTTATTTATTTATTTATTTATTTATTTAATTTATTTAATTTATTCTATTCATTCATTTATTTTATTTTTGGCTGCATTGGGTCTCCGTTGCTGCGCGGGCTTTTCTCTAGTTGCGGCGAGCGGGGGCTACTCTTTACTGTGGTGTGCAGGCTTATTGCTGTGGCTTCTCTTGTTGCACAGCATGGGCTCCAGGCGCACGGGCTTCAGCAGTTGTGGCTCACAGGCTCCAGAGCACAGGCTCAGCAGTTGTGGCGCACGGACCCAGTTGTTCCATGGCACATGGGATCCTCCCGGACCAGGGCTCGAACCCGTCTCCTGCATTGGCAGGTGGACTTTCAACCACCGTGCCACCAGGAAAGCCCCAAGAGGTTCATTTTAAAATCATCCTTAGCAACGTAACACCCAAGAGAAAGCTATTACTAATCATGGGAAAGGAAGAGATACAACTTCCAATTTGTTTTAGCACCCAAAAGAAACAACAAAGTAAAATCTAAGTGTAAAACACTTACCTTTGGTGGAGAACTCTGTACAACCAGATCAACCTCGGGGATGTCTAACCCACGTGCAGCGACATTGGTTGCAACCAAAACTCCAAAATCACCATTTCTAAAACCCTTCAGGGTGATTTCCCTTTGCTTCTGTGGAATGTCTCCATGTAATGACTGGGCATCCTGCCAAAGAAATAAGCTCATTTAAGAATACCAGATCCTACAATACAGGTACTTTTAAAATCACCAATTAGGTCTATAAAGACATTCATATTTTGGTGACACTTCTGCTGAAAATAATACAAAGGGGAAAACGTGCCTTACATGGACAAGCCTCAAATTTCCAACCCTTGGTCATGAAATCAACTGTATCCAACTATACTTACAAGATAAAGAACACCAAACATGAGTGATCAAACCTACTTTGTCAGGGTAACGTTGGGTTTGAGCTACCCTTTCTTCATCTGTGAGATGAGATGGGCAGATCAGATGAGCGCTAAGATGTATACTCTATTAATTGAAAGATGCTTTCTCCCTAAAAGGGAAGAGAGGGGATGGACCAACCTGCCTTATGGACACATTCTGTGACAACTCCTGGGCTTCTTTCTTGGTTTCACAGAAGATGATAGTGCGCCCTTGATAACCACTGTACACTCGGATCACGTCCCCAATAACTGCTGCCCTTTGAGTCCAGTGGCACTTGATAGCCAGATGCTTAGGAAAGAAGGAAAAAAAGATTATTTAGTAAAGCCTAGCTGGAATCTAAAGTCACCTGCTCAACCCTAATGATACTAGAAGCAATTGTTTAAGTCTGACTAGAGCAAATTTCTGCCACCATTGTTTAGAGGAAAAAACTAAACCACTAAAGAAGAGAGCCCTTCCCCTTTCTCCAAAGAGCATCTGGCTTCTTTACCCATTTTCTGACCTAATACAGGTAATGTAGGAAAACAAATACCATTCCCTAGATTGCTACAGGAAACCAAGTAACTGACAGGAGAAAAGCCTCTGTGTTTTGTCCTTTCATCCACTTGAAAATGCAGTCAGTAGTCGGTTTCCGTACAGGTCTATTCCTTGGGTGCAACGAATTCATCTAGGTACCAGACCCTAAGATAAAAACAGCTTCAACATAAACACTAGGATTCTCTGCTGCCCTCTAGTGTATAAACTCTAGGTGTAATGTCACTCTGCTTACCAATTCAGACAGATTTAGGTTCCAAAAGATTCTGCAATCAGCCCACCAGATGATGAAATTTAGAAAACACAGATACCATATACAACTCAAATAGAAATATAACTTCACATGGCTTTTCACATGGATTTAGTATTTATTTGGAAAAGAAGTTTGTTTTTGCCAGTCTTAATACTATTCAAGAGGTAAAAAAAATTATATACAATTTATTACTAATGCCAGCAACTGAATGAATCATTTACCTCTACAGTTATTGCCGTTTTCTGGGTCTTTTTACCAATCAGGTCCACTTGTTCATATGTAGATTTCATGTATTTCTTAGCAACATTATAAACCCAATGAGGGCAAGTTGCAGAAAAAAGCAATGTTTGGGGATTGTCTTCTGAATCTTTGCGGGGAAAAAAGAAGTCAGTATGAATAAGTCAAACAAGCCTACACAGTATTTCACCTCACCTAATTCTTCCAGGGTCCATCAGCATTCTACAGAAAACATCTGAGGCCAAGTGAGGCATCGAGGACACAAAAATGGAAGACACGGGCTTCCCTGGTGGCGCAGTGGTTAAGAATCCGCCTGCCAATGCAGGGGACACGGGTTCGAGCCCTGGTCCGGGAAGATCCCACATGCCATGGAGCAACTAAGCCCGTGTGCCACAACTACTGAGCCTGTGCTCTAGAGCCCACGAGCCACAACTACTGAGCCCACATGTCATAACTACTGAAGCCCGTGTGCCTAGAGCCCGTGCTCTACAAGAGAAGCCACTGCAATGAGAAGCTGCGAACCACAATGAAGAGTAGCCCCCACTCGCCATAACTAGAGAAAGCCCACACACAGCAACGAAGACCCAACACAGCCAAAAATAAAAAAATTAAAAAAAAAAAAAGCAAAACAGGGAAGTACCCAATGGGCAAAGAAATGCTGCCTAAATAATTTATGTAAAGGATCCTTGAAATAACCAGAGTACTTTCAAGTTGTTTTGTTTTCTAACCATTGGCCTATATGAACCATGAGGGAAATCTGTCCTTTATGAGACCTACTAAGTGGAAAACAATTAATCAAGCCCAGTAACCAACCAACTTAAATCACTAAATAAATAATCTATAATAAACACAGGAACAGATTTTCTATTCATCTATACTCCCTAGCATTTCCAGAACAGATTTTATACTCATCTATACTCCCTAGCATTTCCTCAACACTTTAAGGTTAGAATTCTAGTCTATTCATCCTTTGAGGTCAGGTACTAAAAATAGCTCCCCAACCCCAATTTTTTTTAGTTTGCTCTTAGAATACCATTGCATTTTCATATATTTCAAATGGCAGCGTAACTGACAGAACCCTTCTGGAGAGTAAGCTGACAAAGTATATTGAAGAACATGAACTATTTATACCTTTCAATTCAGTAATTTCAATTCTGGAAATCCATCTTTAAGAACTGATGCTAAATACTGATTTTTGTTTGTTTTTTTATAAATTTATTTTTTATTTCTATTTTTGGCTGCATTGGGTCTTCGTTGCTGTGTGCGGGCTTCCTCTGGTTGCAGCGAGCAGGGGCTACTCTTTGTTGCGGTGTGCGGCCTTCTCATTGCAGTGGCTTCTCTTGTTGTGGAGCATGGGCTCTAGGTGCGCAGGCTTCAGTAGTTGTGGCACATGGGCTCAGGAGTTGTGGCACGTGAGCTCTAGAGCGCAGGATCAGTAGTTGTGGCGCACGGGTTTAGCTGCTCCACAGCATATGGGCTCTTCTTGAGCCAGGGCTCGAACCCGTGTCCCTGCATTGGCAGGTGGATTCTTAACCACTGCACCACCAGGGAAGCCCCCAAATACTAATGTTTGAAGAAAGCTGTCTATATAAAAATGTCTGCAAGCAGATTTATATTATGTAAAACTTAAAATATGTAGATGGATTAAATCATGGCACAAACAGTTCAGAGTTTTATATGTACAGTAAGATTACAGTTAACACACACACATACACACAATACCGCAAATCAGGAAGAAATAAACCAAAAGCAAAGTATACCGAGCTGGTTTCTTTTATTTTCCCTATTGTAATTATGTGCAATTGATGGGGGAAAAAATTTTTTTTGGCTGCGCTGAGCGGCATATGGGATCCTTAGTTCCCCGACCAGGGATCGAACCCATGTCCCCTGCATTGGAATCACAGTCTTAACCACTGGACCACCAGGGGAGTCCTGGAAATTTTTTTTTAATTTAAGTTTTCCTGAATAAAATAAGCCACCTGCCAAGTTTCCTAAGGCTTCATTTAACTTTCAGGAGATAGTTAATCACCACCCTTCCTCCAATCCCTTATACCAGTTCTTGAATGTGGAGTTTACCTTTCTTGTACGCCACACATAAAATCTCTTCCACTTGATCAGCAAAGCCCATGTCCAACATCTGGTCAACTTCATCCAGCACAACATGCTTAAGTTTGGTGAGCTCTAGCTTGCCATTCTGCAGGTGGTCTTTGATACGACCTGGTGTCCCAACCAGGATATCAATCCCATTCCGCATGCGTTCAACTATAAGAACACCAATGATAAAATATTATGGATTTTTAATTCCTTTTATTAATCTGGGATACCAAATTAGATATATTTTTATTCTAAAATATTTATTAACTACAAGTACAAGGTAATCTGTTAACTACTGAAGATAAAGACGCTAGAGGCACTCCTTGTCCTACTGGCGAAACATGTTAGAAGTGACAGTCCAGTGTATTACATGACAAAACAGAAAAATGCACCAATGGGGGATGGTAGCACGAGGAAAGAAATGATTTCCTTTGCTGGAGGAAGGTATCAAGATTTCACAAAGTGAAAATAAGAATCTTAAAAGAAATGGGAACTTTCTATAAGGTAAGCAGGTATAGGGAGAATGACAAGATAGAAGGGCAAATATTCCAAGAAGGTACAGAGATGTTCAGAAAAATGGAGTTCAGTATAACTAGGATGAGACGGTAATGATGCAACTTTCTATTGGATTGCTACTGCAGTAAAGAAGCCTACTGCTAGGGAGGATTCCTGGACTGAATGTCAATATTATGACATAGTGCGTGTGTTTCGTGTTTCGTAATTGCAATCGTTGTTTTTGTTGTGGTCATACATTTACAATGCTTGGTGTCAGTTTATTTATCTCTTGTAAAAATAAAATACACGCGGCATGAACCCGCGTCCCCGGCATCGGCAGGCGGACTCTCAACCACGGCGCCACCAGGGAAGCCCTATTTATGCCTTCTTTAATTTCTTTCAGCAGTGTTGTGAGCAAAAAAGTTTGTTTGTATAAGGATTACAATTTAAGTATAAATTAGAACAATTTAAATCAGGGGACCTAATTACTGCTCCTTACCATAAAAAGAAATGAAATCGGTTAAAAGTTAAAAAGAAATTATTGCTTCCAGACCTATGTAGTATACGGAGCAGAAAGAACAAATGGAATAGTAACTTTATATATTATTATAAAACCTAAGAATAAAAAGGAAATAGCCTGTTCACCACATACTGGATTTAATAAGAAAAGGCAAGAATAAAGCAAGTAATACTTTGACGCACCATGACCTACATTTTTAAATAATATACACGTTTTTATAATAAAAGTTTTTTATATAAAAAAAAGAGATCTACTGCTAGGCACTCTACTTACCCAGTTTCATCCTCACAACACCACTGCAGGGTGAGTTTAGCAACGCTACTTTATACATAAACAAACTAAAGTGCAAAAAAATCAAGCAACTTGAACTGAAAAATCAGTTACTCTGTGAGCAGAGTTTAGATTCACACCCAGGCCGTCCTGATACCAAAGCCTACGTTAGTTCCACCAAAGCTGAAAAGAAACAATCACAAGCCTTCTGTGCCAATATTAAGCCTTCTATTTTTATCTTTTCATATTATTTTTTAATTTTTATTTTATATTGGAGTATAGTTGATTTACAATGTTGTTTTAGTATCAGGTGTATAGCAAAGTGATTCAGTTATACATATACATATATCTATTCTTTTTCAGATTCTTTTCCCATACAGGTTATTATAGAGTATTGAGTAGAGTTCCCTGTGCTATATAGTAGGTCCTTGTTGATTATCTATTTTATATATAGTAGTGTGGACATGTTAATCCCAATCTCCTGATTTATTCACCCCCCTACCTTTCCCCTTTGGAAACCATAAGTTTGTTTTCTATGTCTGGGAGTCTGTTTCTGTTTTGTAAATAAGTTCATTTGTATCATTTTTTAAGATTCCATATATAAGTGATATCATGTGATATTTGTCTTTGTCTGTCTTACTTCACTTAGTACGATAATCTCTAGTTGCATCCATGTTGCTACAAACGGCATTCTTTCTTTTTTATGGCTGAGTAATATTCCATTGTATATATCCACATCTTCTTTACCCATTTATCTGTCCAATGCTAAGACTTCTAAAATGCTTAAATCCTTTCCAAAATTACATATCTAATCTACAAAATAAAGCTTCAAGGTCTTGAACTGGGAAGTAATGGAATACTACAGCAGGGGCTACAAGATTTGGCCCTCAGGACCAGAAAAAAGAAAGCCTGTCTACAGTAAAAAGAGGCAGAGACCCAAGGTCCCTGACAAAAATAACCTTGAGTTCTGACTTTCTAGTTCCTAGACTCTGTCCTCTTGGGCTCAGTAAAGTACCACTGCAGCCTTTAGATAAACACAGATAAATAATACAAAAGTCCTAAGAACCGCAATACAGGATATGATAGATCATCATGCAGGACCATGTGCTTGACCATCTTTACACAATAATGACAAAATAAAACCACCATAAATGACTAGATGAGGTAGGTAAAGCTAGACGTCAAGGTCAGAAGAAATCCAATCAGGGCACCCAACAGGAGATGGCATTTTCCTTCCCTCACATTGGATTTACTTACTTTGTCCTCCGTAGGGAGTTCCACCATAAAAACAAGCCACTGCCAGTTTTTTTGTGATGTCACTGAAATCTCTGCTTACTTGACCTGCCAACTCCCTTGTGGGTGTAAGAACCAGTACCTGAAAAGGAAAAACTAATAATGGAATCCAAAGTATTATGCAGTATTTGTTTCTTAACAAATCGGGAATGCACCAGGAGGTTCAACTTATCCTAATAATTATTTGCAAAACATCTATTATGTGCGTTGCAATGCACTGTGGTGTGGGAGAATAGTAAATATAATATGGTTTCTGACAAATCACTAGAAAAGCTGTGATCTTACCAATCAAAAGAGAAATAGGTACTCAAATTTATGGTGCTCTAGGATGGTTGCACACAGCAAGCTGGAGGAATTGGGATAAGTTTCATGGAGCTACTAGTACTTAAGGAACAGCATTCCAGGAAAAGAACAACTTGAGCAAGGAGTAATACTGCTGATGATAATATCAGCTAATATTTGAGCTTTTACTATGTGTCAGGAGCTACTAAATGCTTAATATGCATTATTTTTATTTCTCACAATAAGTTACCTACAACTGCACTGTACAACTGTATTATAATACCTACAATAACACACAACAAATCTCTAAAACCAAAAGGCAAGCCTGGATTTAAATTCAGGTAGCCAGGCTACAAAACCTAGAGTCTGAACCTCTGCACTACACTGAATCTGAAGTAGAATGGAAGTCAGAAGAGTAAGGCAGGGCCAATGTGGTGAGGGGCTTTGAATCCTACAGCAGTTAACAGGACACACGACACACAACCACTACAGGTCCTCAAATAGGCTAACAGCATGAAACAAATATGACTTAAGAACAACTTTGTAGGGGCTTCCCTGGTGGCACAGTGGTTAAGAATCCGCCTGCCAATGCAGGGGACACGGGCTCGAGCCTTGGACCTGGAAGATCCCACATGCCACAGAGGAACTAAGCCCGTGCGCCACAACAACCAAGCCTGTGCTCTAGAGCCTGCGAGCCACAACTACTGAGCCCGCATGCCACAACTACTGAAGCCCACGTGTCTAGAGCCCGTGCTCCGCAACAAGAGAAGCCACCGCAATGAGAAGCCCACGCACCACAACGAAGAGTAGCCCCTGCTCACTGCAACTAAAGAAAGCCCACGCGCAGCAACGAAGACCCAACGCAGCCAAAAAATAAAAAATAAAAATAAATAATAAAAAAAGAACTTAGTATATCCAACCAACAGATATTTACTGAACACCCACTATGTGCCAGGCACTATTCCAGGTGCTAGAATAATTCGTTTGTTTACTGCTGTCGTAACTGTAGATAAATACAACAGTAAACAAATCAATTAATTAGGAGGGAGCATGGACACTGGAAAGCCAATAAATGAGATGAGGCCAGAAAGTTAGGTGAAAGAACCCAAAGCCAAGGTGACAACACAGGCATTTCAGTGAGGTTAAGGTTTGTCAAATGCCAGGCTCTCCAGAAATGAGCTCAGTGAGCACCATCCTGATCACAGGGCCTGGCCTCTTCACCTCTGATACCCCTCCTATTCAGGCATCTCTATTAAAAATGCTTTCTCCATTTTAGGCGAAACCTGACCAAACCTGTGAGCCCCAGGGACATCTAAGAGTCTGAAAGAAATATGCGAGCATTAATAATACAGGTGATCACAACCATGGGGGCAGATTACAATATTTAAATATATAAGGTTTGTAGACAACAGTCTTAAAAGAATTATCCTGGTTTACCTTCAGATAAAGATCTCCAGTAAATACCAGAAAAAGGCCTTAAGGAGAACCCAGTAAAAAACAATAGGGTATGTAAATGATGCTCAAGCAATGTCTCTTCCTGTGCAGACTTGGAACCCCTAAGGACTGCATTAAAGATATTTACCTGAGGGGCACGGCCTCTCTTCCGGTCTTGCAGTTCTCCCTGAAGTTTCTCAATCAAAGGGATAGCAAATGAGAACGTCTTCCCAGTTCCTGTCCGTGCCTGTGCAATCAAGTCCTTCCCACTATAGACGTGGTGAAACGTCTTTGCTTGTATAGGAAACAGGAAGGTCACCCCACGGGCTGTGAACAAATGAACCATGTTATCTGACACTGCAATTCTTAAAAGTCCCAGTCATACTGGAGAATGAAAGCATAGCCACGCTTCTGGTCCTGCAGAATTATGAAATTCTACATTCTGGCCACATCTACAAAGTCAAGTTCAAATATATTCTGGCAAGAATCTGCTTCAATAAAAGATATCAATAAACTTCAAAGTACCAAATTATAGTAAATACTTATTATCTTAAGAGATTAAGCCCCTCATCACAAAATCTCATTCAAAGGCCAATATAAGCCTGAAAATCAGGTGTTTTGCTGTCTGACTGCCACACCTGATTCAGAAAACACCTAAGTTGGGCATCGGTGACTTCCTACCTGGTTCACAGGCACTATGCTAAGATGAGTTCTGAGTCAGGCTGGTATCATTAACCTAGAGATGCCTCAAGAAGTGGAAGAAGGTAAAAAAGAAAATACCAACATGGTATATCCATTGTTTACTTTCACCAGCACGATCAGTCATTACACTTCTAAATATACATATTGTATTGAATAAATTTTAATCACTCGTTTAAGAGGTAGCAAAGGCCATCACTAGTTTAGTCCTATACCAAATATACAGACATACTTCATTATATCGTTGCCTATATCATCCTCCAATAAGAACATGCGCCAGTTCACCTCAACAAAAACAGTGGAGTGCTTCCAAATAATACGTTCTAACATTATACAATATTTCCAAGAACGTTACCTTTGAGAAGTTTAATAGTTTCTTCAGATATGGGAAAATTAGAGAAAGCTCCTTCTTTTTGCTCCACAGTTATTTCCTGTCAAGTAAAGGGCCACAGAAAGAAATTAATAACTTTACCCCTACAAGCTAAATACAGAAAGCCTTCTGAGAAAAACTATTCTAAAACATCTCTTCTAAATCAACCAAAAAGACACAAAAACTTTGGTAGGTAAATCAAGATCTGAAAAGGAAATAGATCATAGTAATATGTAAAACCCTAACAAAAGAAAAGTTTGTAGCAAATATATACAGCACATATATACCATGTATAGCTAGTGAAAGCAGATTCAGTCTCGACTAAGAACTTTTCCACAATCATTCCAAACAAACAATACACTGTTGAACAAGTTATTAACCCCTTCCCATAGCAACATCTTTCATATATACATCCATAGAAAATAAGGAACAAACATTTATGACAAAATGATCACATTGGCACTATTTGATTATAAACAATCTGAATGCCCAAAAGAATTAAGTGAATTTCTAAACATTTATATGATGTATTATGTAACCATTTAAAATATTTAATATTTAAAAGTGGGAAAAATGCCTATATAAAAATATAGGCAAGATAGGAAAAGGCAAACTACAATATTGCATATAGTACAATCATAATCAGATTTTTAAAAAGCTGTATATATTTTTTATAATCAGGAAAAATTTTTAAATGCTGATCATGACCTATGGCAAAGAGAAAATTATTTATTAGATTTAGGATTTTTCTTTGATGACTGAGTTTCTGAAAGATAGCAGTATTAGCTTCCAAAGCGACATTTAAGTATCTTATTCAACTCAAGTTAGTTTATGGCCTATACAAAAAGACTTATGCAATCAAGCAAACACCTTTTCAGTGGTTCCACTTAATCATGATTTATTAGGTGAAACCCCTCAGAGGGAAACTGGAGCATATTTGCATAACCAGATCCCTCCTGTTGATTTCTGACTTGCAAATAAGCAGACCATATGTGGAGAGACTTTCTCAAAACTTAAACAGATCTGCTCAGTTGCAAAGGAGGCATTCTAACACTGCAGTTTTTAAGATGAAGTCTCACCCTGCAGCTCAAGGGACACCCCCCCCCCCGCCGCCATGAAGTGCTGACACATCAAATTTCCTCCCATTATTAAATAATCTGTTTAATAATTACGTATTTATTTACCTGAAACAACATCGAAAGATACATTCTACATATTAAAATGCCACTTTACCTGCTCTAACTCACTGTTACTTTCTTCACTGGCAGCTTCCTTTGAGTCGGAGTCAGGTCCAGAATGAGGGAATCCATTCTTCAGGTTGGGGCTTTTCTCTCCAATTTCTCCATTCATATCTTTTTCTTTCTTCATCTTCTTGGACTTAGGCGCACCCAAGTCATTCTCAGAAGGCTCCTCATTTTTTATTAGTTTTTTGGTTTTAGGAGAAACAACTGTCTTTTCACAGGGCTCCTTTGATTTTTTCGCACTTTTGGTCTTAGGAGAAATAATGTCATCTTGAGATGGCTCCTCTTTCTTTTTTGCCTTTTTGGATTTAGGAGAACTCATGTCAGCCTCAAAAGGCCCTGCTTTCTTTTTAACCTTTTTAGCTTTGGGAGAAATCGTTTCGTCCTTTTCTTCTGCTGCCTCTTCAGTCTTATTAGATTTTGGCTTCTCTTTTTTACCTTTCTAAAAAATTAATAAAGACAATACAAACAATGAACAAAACATTGATACATTTGTATAATACATCGATTCTGCATTAATTCAAGATCACATAATTATGAAGAATACAATTTGGGGGCATTTTTCAACATGTGTACTTTCCATCTTAAAATAAGGCAAAAATCAAACAGTATGTTTTTTAATACCATTTCTTGGCTATATGGAAAGAAGAATATATCAATAACTTCATTAGCTAGGAAAAAAACGCGCTTCTTGGTAACTATTCAATTCATGGTGGTCAAACAAGTTGTAAAGTCAATTTTGCATATGGGACTTGCAGCGGCTCATGGGATGCTCCAACATATTGTAAACTACACACACTATAGGAAGTGATCAAGAACAATTTAACTTAATTCTGGTAGAGTAATAAGACCATGTATACCCACAGACGGATGGTGTTAAGCAGATTTCCTTCTCTGCTAGAATTCCTCTACAAGTAAGACAGGAATTCATAATATCTGCCTTGCTAATCTCACAAACGCAAATAAATTTACATAAAGACATGTTATGAACCAAAAAGTTATAAAAACCCACAGTCTATCACCCCATGTGGAAAAAAGGTGTACCTAATTTACACGGGAAAACAAAGAGCACAAGTTACAAGAAAACGGAATGGGTGAAACCTCAAAACCAAACCAGATTACAGCTCCTACTTGAAATGTCTGACCCTCTCCAATTTTTCATATTTCTGAAAACTTAATATTACTGAAAACGTGTTTTACCCTCTGTTAAGACCTCTGTGGCAGAGCCTGAGGCCAATTCCTGAAGTATGGGGACTGTTACATTGAGCTACTATTACAGTCTGCCTCCATGAAATTTCAGGCCTGGCCTCTGCTCTTAAATCATGGATGAAAGATAATCTCTCCCATATGACCCATCCTTCAGACATCTGAAAAACAATCTGGTCCACCCCATCCCAAGACTTCAATTCTTTCATCCCTTGGTTCCACCAATCAGTGGATTTCCAATCCCGGTGGTCTTCTTTGGAATACAATGGAGTTTGTTGGTCATGTCCCTTCTAATTTCAGCATCTGACAACAGAACACGCTGACTAATGCAAGGCAGGTAAAACCAAGACCACTTCCTCCCCACCTGTGGGGACAAGTCTGAGCTACCTCGGCTTCCTACAACAGCAAAATATTCCTTGCCAGAAACAGCAAGGAAAGAAAATTCTAAGTCACGTACAACACAAGTTCTGGGACAATCTTTGTTTTCACTGACCTTATCTCAGAACAGACTCAGTCACAAGTTAAATCGCTATCTAAGGAAGTAACAGCAAGGAGGCAGACAGCTATCGCGGTAACTTAAGACTACCGCACACTGGCGGCCTATATAAAAAATACGGTGTGCAGTTATCACCACAACATGTCTACATTTCCACGGGAAATATGGCCAATAAACCTTAAGAGCAATTTAACTACTTTATCGTCTAAAGGCCGCTTCCCAGAAAACTGTACTCCCACTACTAGGGTAAAAAAAATGTCACCGCGGACGCCGCCCACGTGTGCGGATGGCTTTATGGTCTCGCCAGTTTAGTCGAAAGCCGGTAGGTCTGAGTCTGGGCCAAAACGTGGGGCCTAACCATGTCCGTCCTACTCTGTGCACCGGGTGCGGGACGCCCAGACTCAGGGACCACGTGGGACATCCGGCACGCTCTCCAGTTCCGATCCGCCCGGACCTCTGGGCAGCGCGCCCACCGCCCGCGGAGAGCACCGACCACCCCCGGGCGCCCCTTGGCCGAAACTCACGCGGGTCTCGGGAGCAGCCGGGTTCGCGCGGCGCGCCACGCGCCGCCCCCCCCCGCTCCGCGTCCTGTCTTGCCCCAAGTCTCTCGGCCCCCGGCGGTACCTTCTCATTTCGCTTTCGCGGCATCTCCACTTTCGCCATGGCCGTGTCCGACTCCAAATCCGCTTCACTAAGAAGTTTCCCCGGCATCACTCAGGACAAGCAGAATAGGCCGACCACTTTCGTCTACCGCGTGGAAAGGAAGAAAATGCCCAGCTTTCCCTTTAGCCCACCCAGCTTTCGTCACTTCCGGTAGCAAAGCGTATCCTGCGGAAGCGGAAAGTGCCGAGAGGCTGGGGCGCACGTGGTAGTTCCAGAGCAGCTGCCACTTTAGGTGGCTGGACTCACTGAATTAGCCGAGTAAGGCGCCTGGACTAGAAGGCACCTACAGAAGGGTAGGAAACCCAGAGGCTGGCTTTATTCTCGTTCACACCCCGCCCAGATTCTCGCTAGCCCCGGCCTGATAAATGAAGCTTTGTAGTTGCTTTTGAATAGCGCCCCTTCAGTGCTTTATATTAGATTGCTCTCTTTTGTAAGGTCCTTTCACGCGCAGACTCGCTAGATGTGTGTTCTTGGTCATCTTGTGGAGACGTCGACACTTGAAAGGAGACACCCAGGCTCACAAACCTGGATAAGAACTAGAGGTCGGGCGGGTCTGGTCATTCATTTATGCGTGCACTCAACACACATCTCCTGAGCATTCACCGTGTCAGGTGTGAGAAACAAGGTTAGGATTCAGCACAGAAGCCTGTCTTCAGTAAGCTTTATGGGCTTGTGGGAGACTGACGAGTGTCAGTTGTTTTGAAGGCACGGAGAGGCACCTAAGCCGGCCTTGGGACCTGTAGAAAGGATCCCCAAACCACGTAGACCTCTATTCGAAAATGCAGGGGCTCTTAATCTTGAAGAATTTGGACATGTACTAATTCAAGCGGTTGAGGGAAAGTGGTTCGTTGAATGATGTGTGACAATATTGCTAAACTTTCTGTGAAGAACAAATGAGGCAAAGAATTGGGAGCCAGTGTATTATAAAATCGTTTTTAAAAATGGGTTGAAATCTTGCCTGGCTTTGAAAACCTGCACCATTTCCTCTGTGATTTTGGACACGTCACAAATGTGTGTATTTCTCAACCTGAACCTGAGTTTCTCATGCATAATGGGGACAAGAAAACCTACTTCATCGGTTGACAAAATTAAGATAATGAATGAAAAAGGTTTAGCATTGCCTGGCACACAGAGCACAATAAATAAGAGCTATTAAAACTCATAGGGGGAACCATACTCAATACTTTGTAATAACCTATAAGAGAAAATAATCTGAAAAAAATACATATAGATGTATAACTGAATCACTAACCTAAACACAACATTGTAAATCAACTATACTTCAATAAAAAAATAAAATAAAATAAAACCATGGGGAAAAAAAAACCTCATAGGTACATCAAGGCTTTTAGAAAGACAATTCAAAATGTAATTTTATGACAAAGGAAAATGCTGCAAGTTCTATTTCTGTATTTCATAAGATTAGTTTTTACTGCACATTTTTTAATCTTACAGTTTAAAGGAAATTTTTCGTGTTTCACAAATTAGTGTTTCACAGTGTCAATTTTTTAGCAGATAAATTTATGTAAATATACAATGATGCTTTCACTTACACTCTGTGATATCCTTGAGCCAGGAGCTTTGATTTATCTTTGTATCCTTAAGATTTTGGACAGTGCCTGGCACACACTAGCCTACCACTAGTAGTGGGATAAGGAAGAAACCCTTTGAAATAAATTTTAGTTGTATGCCCAGGCAGGAAAGCAGTTAGGAACCTGCAGTCTGGTTAATAAACCACAAAATTACGTGATACTGCAGTATATGATACGGCTGTACACAGTACAGGGACTTTTTTTTTTTTTTTTTTTTTT